ATTAGGTCTACATGAACCTTGTCTATGTATAGTTGCTTTCGAACTGCATCGTCCCATTGGCTGCGCGGCCTGTGATGGGCATACGTCATCGTTTTCCCGCCAAAAAATTTCTAGCGTCTAACGCTAAACAAATCCAACATCCATTCTTCGCATTAAGACGCGTGTTGCTCTTTTGTGCATAAAGGAACAAATCGTTGTGTTCTATTCATTCCCTAAGAAAAAATAAACTTTAATCTCATACGTATACGAGCTGAGGAGCGTCTCGCTAACTTTAATCTATTCATTCCCTAAGAAAAAGTAAACTTTAATCTACTCATGCATGCATGCTCTCAAACCACTCCGTGGAAAAGCTAGCACTTTATTTTTCTTGTGAGATATTAATAACTTTTGAATAAAATGTCCAATGTTACATACTTCCTCCGTTCACTTTTGTAAGTCGTTTCAGACAACTCAAAATAGGCTGTTTTGCACATTGTCTGAAATGTCTTCAAGGTCTTATAAAAATGAACAGAGGGAGTATTTGAATTTCCGTCGATGAGATCTTTAAAACAAAATCAAATTTGAGTAGATTTTAAATGAGTTTAAAATTTATGAAACATATTTCACTAATTTCTAAAAAACACATCATATTATTGCAGCGTCAGCACGTCGCCTTCGTATCAAATTATCCGGGTGTTTTTATTAAACTTATAGCCTTATTTTGTTTTTTGTTGTTCTTCACAAAGGTGAATAGTACCCCTTGATCTTTTGCCCTTCTGCTTGGAGACCAACTGGACACTTGCACATTGCCACGAGACACTAATTAAAATTATTTTATAAATGCAAAATAAATATTTGAATCTTGTGTGTGATCTTGTTATATTTTATGTCAGCTACACATCAAATCTTGTCTGATTCGGAGTCCGTTTGCTACACGAATATTTGAATATGCGAGGCATAGTACCGTTTAAATAATAAATAATTTTTGAAAGAACAAGATTGCTATCGAGGCAACCACTTCCCTATTTTCTCTAAGCCCAAGAGCCTCGAAAATCAGCTCAAAACCCCCTCCTAACCTCTCTATTTAAGGTAGCCAACCCCCTACCAAAAATGGACAAACCCTAGCCTCCTACCCCCTCTATTTAAGGTAGCCAACCCCCTACCAAAAATGGACAAACCCTAGCCTCCTACCCCCTCTATTTA